AGTTTAACGATTGAACACGAATCCCGCAATTAGTCAAGAGTGGGATATTTCCCGTTGTTGACGGAGCATTCTTCCAGTGTCCACGAAGCACACACCCGCAGCCATTCAGCCGTACCATGACCACCACCCGGAAGTGCATTGCAAGGACGCAAGGGGCAGGAGAATGAAATAGATTCGATCTAAATCAAGTTCATGCCCATAAGCATACATCTACTACGCTGCTTGAGGATCTATTCAGTAGTGTTTGGTGCGATTCGGTGTTTTCACCTTTCATCTCACTGAGCGTCCCTGCCTAAAGTCACTTTATGCTAGTCCCATGAAAAGGAGCAGTAGGAATCTGCTGAGCCTTTTCAATGAATTCTTTTCCTCTTCTTTGAACGTAATACCCACAAATTCGCGTCTAGACCCCATTGTCCTTAACTTGGGATCACGAAAAGGGCTTTAAATTCACAAGAATATAAGTTTCTGGATGCTGCAAACATTTATTGCTATGAAAGTGCGTATTTAACGACAAGCAGTGCGCGCACCCCGCAGACCTTGGTTCTTGCCTCGTGTGAAATGAATGGGTGCGCAGCTGCAGTGACGCGCCAATTTCACAGCTCAAAAATTTACGGGAACTGGGCTGCGGGGTAGTGATATCCGAGTCCTGTCTCTCAATTCCGCCAGCGTCGCCGCAGGCCAAGCCTTACGCCTAGCCAGCCCTGCTTGTCTGCCTCCCCCCCCCCACCTCACTTCTGGTTATTCTCTACTGCTGAGTGTGTGATTTGCTGCGGGACCTTGGAAGTGCTGCATCTTAACCATAACATAACGGGCGGAGTGCGGAGTATGGAGATGGCACCCAGGTATCCCTACCCTCCAGTCACACTCCCTTACGAACAGAAAAAGTGGCACGGTAGCAGCTGTGGACCCATTCACACAATGCAAGGACCCTCCTCGGAGGTGAGGTGTTCTGCCTAGAACCAGTTTACGAAGCCATCCTGTCGCTTCGAAAATTATGTTACCAAACAAGACGTAAAGAAATCGTGCCGGTGAAAAGATTACACCCGGTTTGCTTCGTACGCTTCTTGCATATCGAGAGAAGAACTAAAAATATTGCGTAAGTAAGGAACTCAGTTACAAACGGAAACACGTTAGCAATGTGGTTGCAAAGCCTCTTGTACCCGGTTAGTACGACTCCTAATGTCCCTTTTGCTTTCATCTCCAAAGAGAAAAGAACTGAGTGATGGATCCCTCAATTCAGTAGCGACATTCAACCTCATTCGGCTGATCATTTTAACGCTCACAGTCTGTGACCCTGACGTAATGGACAAGGGTTACGTGACATCTTGAATTTTGCACATGGTCCTGTAGCGAAACCAATAAACGGGGACAGATAGGCACAGCGCCTGCCAGACGTGCAAGAAACTATGGCGAGCCAGGAAATGAGCTTTTTCAAAGGAGGGGGGGGGAGAGGGGAGATCCTGGCACTGAGTGGGCTACGTGATACGTGAAAGGCTGAAATGGAGTGGAGTGTGTGAAGTCACAATGACCCCGCGGGCGAGAGAGAGCAGAGAAGAACACAAATTTAACGGAATTGAGTTCAAGTTGTCCGTAGACCTGGACAAAGAAACGCTCCCGCGAAAAGGTTCTAATATGTATCGATGGGGTTTGGTGACCGAGCGAGCGAATCCAAAGCCTTCGCGAAAAGGATCAGATACGTATCGTGCCAGAGAGCAAGCGTTTCCGCGCGCGAAACGCTGGTTCCGTCCGCTCATCCGTTTTTATCTTAAACGGAGTAAGCGGAATCGTTACATATCCAGCTCTTTCATCTTGGCGCAGAATTCGGTTGCGTCTAGCAAGAGCGTTCAACCATTCTCCCTGTAACTACCGTATTTGTTGCTTTTCGCCGTTCCTTCGATTCATCAGGGTCACATATTGTGAACAATGAACCAGGAGGATTAGGCGCTCCATAATCAAAGAATTGTAGAAGGGGTACAGCGAGTAGGAGGCTTATCGACGCTGTGGAGGACTAATGATCGAGCGCAGAATTATACATCGACACTGAACATTAAAAAAAACTAGCTGCAAATTTTCATACCTTGGTCCACAGCACTTCATCTGGAGCTCCTATACGAACTGCGGCCAGCTCACCGTTAAGAAAGACCAAGACCCCCTTCATCTGAGGGACGAAATGATCATCTTGCACAGGTCCCACTGTGATCTGAATAAAGCGATTACACATGCAAACTTTGTATTTGAAAACTACTGATAGCTGCAGAATAATCCTCACCTCCACAGCGACTTCTCGAAAGGGTATTCGAACAATTGTAGTTACTTTAATGTTACGCAAAAGCAAACTCTTGTTGGAGCTCACCTCACCTACCATAGCCAAAAACTTGGCGTTGCCCTGAAAATGCATTGGACTTCGAACTCCTAAATCAGAAAATTTAAGGCTGCGTTCATACTTGGCGTGAGCGTTTTGAGCATACGACAACATTCGAGTGCGTAGGAAAGAGTAGATATCGACATAAGATTTTGAGCGTACACTAGCGTTCTCAGCGACTGTCCGCGGAAAAAGTCAAAACTACCCGCGGAACGCTCAAAAACGCTGGCATACTCTCAGAACGCTAGATCAATACCTATGCTTTTCTAATCGCTCAATATGCTGCCGTACGATGGGGTACGCACGCTCAAAACCCTGACGCAAAGCCTGAATGCAACCTTATCATTATCACATCATCGTTGGTTCCCAGTGGCTTCTGTGGAGTAGCGAAATAACGACGCCTTCCTTGATGTTCAGCCAACGTGCCCACTTTCTCAATATACGACGACAGGAAAAACTGAAAGTTCTCCCTTCTCCTACTCTAGTAATTGAAGAAAATATTCAAAAAGTAACGTACCTGTGATGCATTTTCAATACCTAGGCAAAAAAGAAGGTTATCTTCGTCAACTGGTAAACTGTTATCAAACGGTGTAACCTGGAATTTAGAATAAAGGTTTCCATCCTTCTGATAACATTAAAAAGGAGAACTGTCATGGCTAGGACTACTATTACTACTAACAAAAATGACTTGTTCAATGATCTTTCATTCACCATGTCATACGCTGAAGCAAAGAATCTCGAAAATGATGAGGTACCGGGTTTCATGTTGACTGAGTTAGCCAGCAGCTCAAGCTGTTTGAAGAGGTCCGTAACTCTGAAATCAAAGTTTTGGAACAATTAATACTACTTAGTAGATTTCATTGAGTTGAAGCGAGCGCTCTTTGAGAAAAGAAGGATGGTGAGCTGAGAAACTGTGGGGGCCATATTCGCGTTGCTGCGAGAGAGGTCATTCCACTCTTATACGGTTCCCTGCACTATATCAAGGTTGCGGATGAATTGGAGATCGAAAACTGGACACTGGAAACTCTAACAATTCCTGGTGAAATCTAAAGCTCCCCATTCCTTCCCACCTCTATTATCTCACACTAGGACTACTTACTTGATCTGCCAACATTCTGAAGCTGGGCTACCTCTTCGTTTACCCCACTCCTCCAATATCTCTCATGTGATCAATTTTTATTCACTGAATAATTTTTTATCACTTCCCTAACTGTACCTCCCTTTTCGTCGGTCGGGAGGTAACACGGTATCCGAGTCAGTGTGACGCTCCACTATTATTCATCATAAAAGGTTAACACTGAACGTGATCTCTGAGAGCTCTCTCACAAGGCATCCCATTCATACCAACCTGGTGAACGTCACGTCTTTCGAAGTTAACTCATTAGCATTGATTTCACAGTTGTTGTACACTTCGTTGAAGAAATTCTCCACCTCGGACCGCAATTCCCGCACAGCCTTCAACGCTGAAAACACACTGCTAAAAATTATACAGTCCCTATGCGTCGACCAAGGATGGGCACTCACACATAATTACTCATATAAATACTGTTTTAAAAGATCTCGGTGTCTTCGGCGCGTCACGCTAACAGAAGGGCAATCTCTCCTCCGACCTTCATTACATCCAACTCCACTCCAAAAATAGCCAGAACTCTTTGTCCCTATCCAGTGGGGGCAGGGGATGGGGGCGGTGGTGGTTCAAGACGGAGATGGTGGGTAAGAGGTTAGAGGGCTCTTGTCAACGGGACATGCCCTAGCTGCGAGTGTCTAGAGCTATTTTCTCGTGCCATCCATTAGCCAGCTGTTAAAGGAGAAGGAAAAGGAGGAGGGAAGAGAGAAGAAAGGACGGAAAACATGGAAGCAGAAAAATAAAGGAGAGAAGGGAGGCTCTGCGTCCTGAGACGCCATGTAAGATGTCTCCCCTCCCAAGCGACTCACTCCAGCCCCCCTTCCTACCAGCATCACGCACAGCCTTTAGGAAATTGGACGTCTCCCCCCCCCCTCCTCCTCCCACCCTGTGCGGCCTTTACCATACGACCGTCGCATTCATTGAGTGATTGATGAGGATGGATGGAAAACATAGAAAGTTACGAGGAACTAGAGAAATCAGCGAAATCGTCACCGAAAAGGTGCAGGGGAAGGAGGTAGGTGAACACCTGACACGAGAGAACTTGACAGTCCAAGAATATTTTAACAGCTCAAATATAACTCACCCTCACTCTCCGAAAATGCTCCGCTGAGCGCTCGTTCGACCCTCCCTCCCGGTCTACGGACAACTTGAACTCAATCCCTTTGAACGCGTCGATCTTCTCTTTTTCTCTGCACTCCCTCGTCCGCATGGCACTGGCCGTTGTGACTTCGCTCACTCCAGCTTTTCACCGACTATAAGTAACACCCACCCCGGAGTCCCCTCTCCTTGAAAAATCCCGTTTCCTGGCAACTCACGACGTGCCTTTCAAAATGACAACGTGACAGTTTCAGGGGAGACAATCTGTTTTTTCTTCAATTCGAAACATAAGGGTTGAAACAACAAACATACCTAATTCTGCATACTTTCCAGGTGAAATCAATGTACGCGGTTGTAATTCCCTAATGAATCGAGGACAGCTCTGACCAGTCGCACCTAAATTGGAAGATGGATATCCAGCTTGATACTGATCTGCTGTCACTCCTGCAGGGTGACCGAGACTTCCACTTGATGACACCAATACAGGAGCACTGCGACTGATGTGCATAAATCTGGAAAGAACCTGAAGAATATATAAAGATTTTCAACACATACTCACCACGTATAACAATGTCTCTGCAATTTCTAGCTCATTGAAAAAAGGTAGATAAATCATTTATTCAGTACATTTCACATGGAAATCCTAGGAAACGTTGAGCTTCAGAAGACTCTTACAGGAACAATCATTATGTACAGAAAGAACTCGGTAATAAGAGAATAGAAAATCCACTTAGAAACCAGTCGAAATTGAGACCATGCGGAAAACTCCAATGTAGCACACATTAACCAAGCCTTCACAAAAAACTGCACACCCTTATGAAATTACTAGTATAGAAGAGAAAAAGAGCGAGCTCAAATCCACTAATTCTTTGCTATGTATCACTATTAAAAAACCAGATAAGTCAAGAGGATAATAGAAATGTCCATACCTACACCAAACATCCAAACTTACTGTCCCAAACCTTGTAAGCAGTTAAGTCCTCACTCACAACAGTGGGCCGAACAACTTTTGCAGCCTCGATGAAATCTGCCACTGAGATAGGTCGAATCTAAAAAGATTAAGGTCATAACGAAGGCCATTCGACGACGAGTTGGGGGGGGGGGGGAGGGCATTATGCGGTTCCGCTGCTTCACTACTTCCGGGTCACAAGTCTCAACCAGGTGAAACCTGTGAATTCTTGTGAAGCTGAAGCAGGCTCTTCGAGCTACCAAAAATCTTGTCAAGTCATGAAATTTCATGAAATAATTCTCAAGGTAGGCTCGACACGTCGATGGGAAGTAGCGAAAGTGCAAAATGCCACCCCCGCCCCCTCCGTCGCCGAGCCCCCACAGCGATAACATTCCAGAACTCATCACTACTTGCAAAGATCAGTGTGGCTAGCAACATTATCCGAGAATCAAAACTTGTCAAATGATACCTCATCAGTTTCTATTGTCTCAATATCCATAGAAGAGCAGTTATCAACATCTCGTATTGGACCCATTGCAGCTTCAGCACATAGTTGTCGCACGTCAGCACCAGAATACCCTGAAAGAAAACTTGAAATTGAAGCAATTAGACAGAAAGTAAGAAACACTGACCTTCCGTTAATTCAGCTATCTGACTAAAATCTTTCTCCTCAAGTGAATGTTTCATATCAACTAGTAAGTTTTTAACAATAGTGAGCCTTGCTTCAGCTTCCGGTAGAGCGATATAAAGACGTTTCACAAAACGTCGTCGAGCAGCCTCATCAAGCTCTTGGGGGCTGCAAAGCGTCAGAAATCATAATTGATTAAAGAGGGAGTGTAAGAGTGCGCTCATACTTTGCGTCAGCGTTTTGAGCGTACGCCAGCGTACATCAGTGTTTCAACAGCGACTAGATAAGTATAAGTATCGAGCTAGCGTTCTTAGCGTACGCCACTGTTTTGAGCATATGCCAGCGTACGCACTAAACGCTTGAACGATACTATACTGTCCCAATCGTTCAAAGAACTGGCGTATGCTCAAAACGCTGACGCTAAGTATGAATGCACTTCGGCGATATCCGGACGCTGCCCTATTGAACCAATACAACCGAAATTCTAAAAACGAGCATCTTCCTCAACATTATAAAGGCTTCGGAGCACGGAAAACAGAAAGAGAAAGGTGTTTCTCTTCACTGGGTTCCTCTTGCAGTCTAAATTATTCTGACCGAAAGGCTTCACCACGGTACTGGAGCTTTAAAATGGACTGAATTACAGAGGTAAATTCGAACCGATTTGTTGCTGCAAGAACTAGCAGCCTCTCATCGGAATTCGTTGCCACACCATCCAATTGTACCAGAAATTCCGTCTTTATACGACGTGAAGACTCATGTTCTGTATCCGAACGTGAAGAGAGAAGCGAGTCAACCTGAAAGAGGTGGGACAAATTAGGGATGTAAAAGGACTTGGTCTTGAAGTTGCAGACTGATAGAAAATATAGGCATTACGCATTTTTAGGCGCTGATCGACTACAGGGAAAGGAGAGCTAGGTAATCTCCTTCCCCTCTAGTCGATCTAACATACCGGGCAATCTGGTAGGTCCTAAAAGCAACTGTGAGGCTACAAAAAGTTACGAGCCTGTTTTCTGAGCCGATTTTTTCGAGTTCTGTCAGTGCTGGAGGGCATGAACGCAGGATTAGGCTGGCAAACGACTGCTGGTCAAAGAGTGAAGACTGCCTATATCTGGGGAAGGAGCGAAGGGGAGGGGGTGTATACAAAACGTACAATTGTCGTGGTAAACAACGACGTCCGACATTCCATTCTGTGGATTAGTTTGTCAGTGTAATTTTGGTATACTGTATCGCAACACGTATATAGTCGTCAGATCGATTGCGAATAGTTTTGGACGGAAATCAAGGAGAAGTCAACCACCGTGTCAACAATTCTGTTGCTTTCCAGCACTCCAATTACCCTAGCATACAGAATTCTACAAGTTAATCTCTGCGTCAAGAGAAGCTTAAAAAGCGCCCCCCCCCCCCCCAGCCGAACCAGCAACATACTTTTTGTTATTCCTGAACACACAGGTCAAATACTATGAAAGCTAGGGCGGCGAAAATTGTTACTTGTCCCATAAAAAAGTAGAAAAAAATAAGGTAAAGGAAGCAAAAAGTGACCGTGAACGAGAAACGTCCGTACCTCATCGATAAATATGACGCTTGGCAGCTTCAACCTAGCCACAGAAAATAAGGCACGCACTAGTTTCTCACCCTCTCCCACCCATTTTGATGTCAACGAGCTTGCAGAAATGTTGAAAAAAGTAGCTTTACACTGCGAAGCTACACATCTTCCTGGAATCAATCGAAATAACATGTGAATGCATATATCTATTTCGATATATCTACTTTATCAGAACTCACCAATCATCGTTTTTCCCGTACCAGGAGGACCAAAGAGCAATACCCCTTTTGGTGGAGCTCGTATCCCTTTGAACATATCTCTAAAAGGTTTTCAGTCCTGAATTTCTATGTGAACTCTTTTAATACACTAATGATGGTAAAGATATTACGGTCTTTTGAACGGCAAAACTACGATTTCCCGCAAAGCTTTCTTCGCTCCCTCCAAACCAGCAACGTCTGACCAACCCGTTTCATGCGTGACGGACATTATCTGTAAACGATATTGGAGAGCTGGTGCAAACACTTTTTTTAGAGAAGCCTTTTCATAATGATTTAGTGCGGTAGAATCTTTGACCTAATGGACCGCTGACCGATATTCAGGGCGCAAATTCACAATTTTATGGCTTCTACTTCCTGTACAGCCGTTTTGCGATTATGGGAGTTGAAGACAAACTGTTCACTCACCTACAAGCACGAAGTGGTCGCTGCACAAGTGTAACATTTTTGTTCGTATAAAAGACACGGAAATGAAACTGAAGGTAGTGACACCCAGCTGCTGTTGCGAGACTCCCGCGCTATCCTCAAGATGCAGGAAGAAGTTGCGTCGACACCAAAATCCCGAAGCGATGCACATACTCAGCGATAGATAGCAACCCGATGTATGAGGGCGCAGGCAAGCAGCGCGTTCGGCTATGGCTTCACGTAGAGTCCAGAAACGGCATTCGAGTATCCTTACACTTTGCCCCGTTTCCGTGCACTTATGAGAGGAGAAAGTGGCACGCTACTGCAGCTGCGCATCCGTATACTCGCACAAAGGCGAGGACTAGGTCCACCAGTGTGAGCGTACAGTTTATGATAAGGCAGCGATACCACATTCTTTCGATGCTGTTTCACTTCGTCCTGCGCTTCGCTTTTATGGAAATGCATATGAATAATTGTGATTATTCTGCGCAAAGAACATCATCTAATATTAGTATTTGGGCTTACCTCGGACTCAATGAGCGAAATTATGTTCTCATCAAAATGTTTGAGTGTTGGCTCTGCTCGAAGACCTGTTGCCGCTTAATGAAAGAAGTTGGAATGGTACAACATCCTTGATAATAAGCACAGATCAAACCAGGTCACAGGATACAGGATCCAAGAGCTCTGCGAGATTCGCGGAACAAGGGATGGGAACAACACAGACAGAAAATCCATGCACTCACGCCTCCATTCACGATCTCACATCCATCATTTGTAAAGCTTTCTTGACCATGGGCGGGGCATTGAATGCAGGTGTGATCCTTCTGAAAATAATGCCATTCTAGTAGAACAAAACAGACAAAAGTATGAAAGAATTAGGATCGACTGGTGCGACTTGGAAACTTGTAACCCGGAAGCGTGCGACTTCATTCTATCTCACATCACCCTGGGCGATCGCTCAGCATAAACAATGAAAATTTAGTGGAAATAATAAGAAAATGACTACCAGAAATCGACGCCCGCGTATACAATCCAGAAATCGATATAAAGTATACTCATGCAGCTTTTTAGACGGCGCGGAAAGCGTACCGTTCGGATTCGCATTCAATGCAGGGTCTGCAGCGAAAATGACGGGAATGGAGGGATCCCCACGATAGATATATCCGGAGCAGCCGTGGCCTGGGCAGCCAAGTGCAGCAGACAGCTACGGTCAGCGTCTTAATCTTGTACGCTAGAACTGTTATTATTATGCGCAAGTGCTTGATGAAGCACTCTGACTTTCGAAGTACCAGGGAGAATTACATCAAACAGTCGGGACGTCAGAGACAGAGTATAGTAAAGGACCAAATAATCTTACTTTTGAACTACCCCCCCCCCCCCCCCCCCCCCCCCCCCCCCCCCCCCCCCCCCCCCCCCCCCCCCCCCCCCCCCCCCCCCCCCCCCCCCCCCCCCCCCCCCCCCCCCCCCCCCCCCCCCCCCCCCCCCCCCCCCCCCCCCCCCCCCCCCCCCCCCCCCCCCCCCCCCCCCCCCCCCCCCCCCCCCCCCCCCCCCCCCCCCCCCCCCCCCCCCCCCCCCCCCCCCCCCCCCCCCCCCCCCCCCCCCCCCCCCCCCCCCCCCCCCCCCCCCCCCCCCCCCCCCCCCCCCCCCCCCCCCCCCCCCCCCCCCCCCCCCCCCCCCCCCCCCCCCCCCCCCCCCCCCCCCCCCCCCCCCCCCCCCCCCCCCCCCCCCCCCCCCCCCCCCCCCCCCCCCCCCCCCCCCCCCCCCCCCCCCCCCCCCCCCCCCCCCCCCCCCCCCCCCCCCCCCCCCCCCCCCCCCCCCCCCCCCCCCCCCCCCCCCCCCCCCCCCCCCCCCCCCCCCCCCCCCCCCCCCCCCCCCCCCCCCCCCCCCCCCCCCCCCCCCCCCCCCCCCCCCCCCCCGGGGCGAACTAGGTGCCCCCCCCCCCCCCCCCCCCCCCCCCCCCCCCCCCCCCCCCCCCCCCCCCCCCCCCCCCCCCCCCCCCCCCCCCCCCCCCCCCCCCCCCCCCCCCCCCCCCCCCCCCCCCCCCCCCCCCCCCCCCCCCCCCCCCCCCCCCCCCCCCCCCCCCCCCCCCCCCCCCCCCCCCCCCCCCCCCCCCCCCCCCCCCCCCCCCCCCCCCCCCCCCCCCCCCCCCCCCCCCCCCCCCCCCCCCCCCCCCCCCCCCCCCCCCCCCCCCCCCCCCCCCCCCCCCCCCCCCCCCCCCCCCCCCCCCCCCCCCCCCCCCCCCCCCCCCCCCCCCCCCCCCCCCCCCCCCCCCCCCCCCCCCCCCCCCCCCCCCCCCCCCCCCCCCCCCCCCCCCCCCCCCCCCCCCCCCCCCCCCCCCCCCCCCCCCCCCCCCCCCCCCCCCCCCCCCCCCCCCCCCCCCCCCCCCCCCCCCCCCCCCCCCCCCCCCCCCCCCCCCCCCCCCCCCCCCCCCCCCCCCCCCCCCCCCCCCCCCCCCCCCCCCCCCCCCCCCCCCCCCCCCCCCCCCCCCCCCCCCCCCCCCCCCCCCCCCCCCCCCCCCCCCCCCCCCCCCCCCCCCCCCCCCCCCCCCCCCCCCGGATCAATACGTGGTTCAATGCCTTGACCGATTTCGCCATCCGAGGCATTTGAAATCTTCCATCGATCGCCGGAAATCCTGCGCTTCCCAACTCAAAGGGCTCAGTAACAGCATATAAGAAACCATATGCATAGCAATTATTACTCATTTAGATTTTTGGCTGTCCCTCGCGTTCAACCAACTCAATTAGCCTTTACAAGAGGTTGGACGCGATGATGCATCGTGTAAGTTCTGTTGTCGTTGTCATACTTTTCCTCTCCTGAACGGCAATAGGGTTCAAGGCTGATGAGCCGCGCAGCAGATAGGCTGAAAGATGCTCTTATCACATCGTATAGGAAACAGGGTTCTTGCGAAAATAGTGCTAAACGACTTCGAGGTTAACGGCAGTGCGATAAGCGTCCTCGAGAAGGCGCTTGGAGTCTCACGGGTCGAGGTAATTGGAAGCGGAGTACAAGCGGCTTAGGCATACCCGCTTCACTGCGTAGAAGCGTTATTGAAGAATACTTCAAATTTGTCTTAACAGCTAAACAGCCTTGGAAAGGACACCGCTAAAGTATATAACACATAGTTGGAACTGGCGACCGCTACTTACCCATATATCACTTCATTTCCACGAGCCACTCCGAGCTCCTCCCTTCAAAGGCAAGCGCCCTCGTTCAGACAATGGTGAGTTGTGCGGGCTACAAAATAGCGTACGTGGACTAGGGATGTGATCAACCAAGAGGGTGGAGAGAAAACAAGATAACCAGGATAGAGCATACGTGATGTGTGAACGCGGTGGTGCACTGACGGCCTCCGTTCTCTGAGGACGGGTAGCACGACCGCCCCTCACCTTCCAGCACCTACCTACCGAAGTGTCGCTATGTTTCCATTTTCCACTGCGAGAGCTTCTTGCTCACAACATCGACAGAAGGGCGATATAGTACACATGAAACCAGTAAAAGAATGGAACGGAAAAATCACAGCCGGGGAAAAAATTTTCGCCTCCGCGGCAAATTTCATTGTCATAGCGCACCACACGGCCGTCTTCTCCGCAACAACGACCGAAGTAGCGACCGCTCCGCCCAGCGAAGCGTTATGACCCTATGTGTTTCGTTCCAACAACGATGCAGTCACGCCTGGCAGGAAAACCCGCTGGAAAAGCCGCACATGGCCTCCATGCTGGACGACGTCGCGCTCTGCTCCATTGTGCACAGGCGCCAGTTTTGAAAACAGAACGGCCGGCTGTTCGCAATTTCTCTCATTGCATGCATTGCGCCTTTGACAGTAATGTATAAAAATATCACCACCAAACTCACAGAATCGACGATAGACACGATGACTTCACGAACTCTCCGAAGTTTTGGATCGTTACTGAAATCGAATGCTAGACCATTACTTGCGTTTAGTGACCCTGCAGTCATAGACGATGAGCGGCTCACCAAAGGGAATTTAGGAGCGTCATCATTACGAGCGTTCTAAAAAGAACATCGTTAATCGCTAGTCAGACGTGTTACTGTCTTCAAAAGCAGAATAACAAGAACTGAGAAAAGAAACAGCACTAACTGCTTCGACTTGTGTTCCTGCCTTGAATCCGTCACCACCGAAACCGTATTTAGACAAAGAACTCTCCTCCTTTACTTCTACGCTTGCGCTGACAGTTTGTGCTTTCGCAATTGAAATAGGGCGTGGCAGCATTTGCAGCGGAATTCTAAGGCAGGAGGATTATCAGTTCGAGCGGTGCAAAATCTCTGCACCTTCTTCGTCTGGTTCAACGCGACCATCCACAACTGAAATTTTTGTGCGAATAGAGCGATGTTAACTTCAAAGTATTTGTGATTTCGACAAGAGCCTTTGCAGCATGGATGCGTCTTTTTGAAGCAGTTTGTGCAGAAGTACATACGCGGGTAACACGTATCGTTTCCCCTGCGTACCTCTGGGACTGTCATGAAAAGATGGTAAAACATTCAGTGAGTTCATGACGATCTCGGTGATATCAGTGACATAAAGAATTCTGGCAAGAATTAAGGAACATGCGAAACGTCGAAGCATGAGCTGCAGAACAGAGACAGATTAAAGAAAAACAGGACCGCTCTCGGGCTGGGGGGCGAGTGAGCTTTGCTTTTCGTCTAAGTTCACGCGTTAATACCGTCTCCCTGTGAGTCCTCGTGTACTCTGCTTGTGAAGTATTAGCGAAAGTACTACAAGTGAGCTAACTTTGTCACCAGGAGGAGTATTATAGGCGTTTCAGGAGAAAAAAAAAAACAACAAGGTTACCGGTGCCAACCTTCAGTGAAGTGCCATCTTCAGGTGCCCCACCAAGCCGTAACTGCAACATGAGAAACGACAGAATTCGTCAAATTGTTTTCGAGCATGGGATCCAGACATCAGCCTTAAGATTCGCGCCTTTCCCTGGCATCAGAAAGAGAGAAGCGCAGAAAAAGCAAAAGGAGAGGAAAACAGATGAGAAAGAGCGAGATGCATGGTGTAGATAAGAAAGAATCAGAGAATTCACAAGAAAATTTAGACGCCAATCGACCGGCTTATTCCATTGCGTATCGATCAAAAAGCCTTATTTTCTGCCGGATTCTCCACCATTCTCCCGACATTCTTGAAGCCTTACACAGGTATACGCGACATGGTTTACTGAAACGGGTCATCATCTTGAAGACTGAAAAATTGACGAATTTGAAGGAAGCCACAAGGAAAAATATTATGGTGTACTTCCGTACTAACGGAAGGGCGGTGTCAGCTAGAGATGAATTGTGAGCGGCAGTGCCGAACCCGTCTCCACCAACTTTTGAAACAAGCAAGGTGACAAAACAGTACCATATTCGTTCGTGATCAACGAGTTTTTTATCAAATGTTTTCGCAACCCCGCTGAACACTTAGGCAGGTGGCCGAGCGTTTTATCGCGCGTGCTTGACTCAACTGTCTGATACGCCCCACTTGACTCCGCAGGCGAAACGTAGAGGGTATACGACATTGAAGTCTCTTCCTGCATCACGTCACATTTCGCTGCATTCCGGCGGCTCCTTCCAATCCTCGAACAACCCGCGTCAACACCACTTTCGCGGTGCTAAATAAACGTGACGACTAATGAATTTAAGGGACTCGTTTGACAACATGACGCCATTGTTGGAGTGGACGGTGTGAATAAAACGAACCTACAGATTTAATCAACAGATGAAAGTTTTTTTATTCACAAACAGAGTGAACTGTTGCAGCGGCAAACAATATCAACCGTAACTAGGCAGTTTTGAAGACGGTTTCATTTCAAAGCGCGAAAGCGAT